TCTGATGATGTCCATCATATGATGGACGAAAGCTCAGCACGTTTTTACCCGAAACGAGGGAGGAAGTCTCATGGACTGCGTCAACATGAATATCGTATAAAAGCTAAACGGCTGCAGTAAAACGAGATTCATCCGTCTTCTTGTGGTGAGATCGACAAACGAATCTCTTCTTCATTCACTTTCATACGAAATGAGTGTCCCTCTAACAATTTAAAATATAATATCTTTTTTTGTTTTGGGTAGGTTTTGTGATTATCAGTTTTTATTCAAAAGTTACAGTTATTTTACATTGTCTTTTGTCCATATTTTTATTTCTACTTTTCTTATAGGCTTGGAACTGCATGGCAATACAGTCGGCTCTCCCGCCAAGTTCACGGTTGATACCTTCAGCGCTGGCCGGGGCTCTGTGGAAGTGATCGTGCTCAACCCCAAAGGACAGCGTGAACCGGTATGTTGCTCCGGTGCCCTCAAGCAAATATCCACTCATGCGTTGTAAGATGCTCTAAGCCTGTCGACTGATTAACAAGAAACATCATCTTATAAACCGAAAAGCTGAATAGACTTTTCGCCTGCATCACGGCTAAGCAATACTTACGAATACTACAGAAATGCTAGGCTGACTCTGCTTTTCTATGCTTCGCGGCGCAATGACAAACAGAATGGATGCAGTTTAGATACTCATAGCTAGCATGCAGTCTCATTTATATGGAAACCACTGGAGGTTTATATACCAAAATTACCATAATAAAGATGGGTAGAGAGAAAACTTGCTTGCAGAATAGAGGAAGGGAGCAAGAAAATTAACTCTGGCCCTTTTGTCAGGCATAATAAATAATTATTCTACGATTGCATCTGTGTTTCACCAAATCTATGTCGTAGCCTGACCACACTCAAGCCACGAAGATGAGACGGACATGGAAAGAGTCTAGCTTAAGAGTGGCAAGACCGAAGAATTCAAAAGTTTTCTTCGCCTTCATGGGTTTTACATTTTACGGAGTGTTTCATTAAATTGTGTGAATACGTGCTAACCTTCTTAAATGTTAAGCTGTACCCTCCGCTGAGGGAAATTCATATAAAACGGTACCTACATAAATGCCATTCATGAGCTCCCGAATTACCAGGAAAATGCCTATTGCGTAGAATTGCGTGTAGACAAACAGGACTTTTCAAGTTCCCCTATTTCTGGTAATTTGCTCCCCAAAAACACTTTCCAGATGATGTGGGAAAAATGTCTTTCACGAAATCTTTGGTATGGCATACTGCAAGAAAGTTAAGAATTTCAGTGGGGAGAAATAACGGAGGCTTAGTGACATGGATTGTTGCGTTAAGAGCCCTTAACAACATACATGGCATGTTTCTAGTTCTATTTTATCGCATACTTTACGCCAGCTTCCCTCACCCATGGGCGCTCGATTTTAAAATAAGAACATTTACTTTGCCTTCTTTCCTGAACAGTATCTCTGCCCTAACTTCACAAGTTCGCTTTTCTGCCCTATATACCGTTATACGATAGTGCAGAGGTAGCTGGTTGTACTATAGGCCAGATTTTTAATAACTTGATAGGCGCTTATTTGTAAAGCCATGTCCTGATTAAATTGGGTTTTTATTGAGCCAACGGAGACAGGCTGGTCAAAATTGTCTCAATTTCGTGCACTTACAGGCTATTATATACTTATGTTGTTGTATATAGTAAGGTAACCCACTATAACAAATCTCAGGAGGCTGTTTGGATCTGAAAATGCTTAACTGGTTAAACAAAATTCCAGTAAAGTAATTTGTCCTCTTATTTCGAATGATGAATTTGATGACGAGAATTCGCAACTTTGCCCCAACAAGAAATTAAGTGATTATGACTACTACTGCTGCTGCCTATGACAGCAAAGAAGCCTTCAAATAGTCCAACTTCCCATGACCTTAATCCTCATCAAACTCTGAACTAAGAATGGTGGCTGACTTCAATTTAACATCTAATACCCTAATTTTCTGATCTCGATGACACATCTGGCGACTTTTTCGCTTCTTCATGCATCTCCCTACATGCTTTCCAATGTTGATACGAATGTAACTCTCCTCTCTTACCTCATCAACTGAAAAGGGATTCAAAACAAGGTTGCCGCCGTCAAATGGCAACGTTACCACTCAGCCATACAACCCTGATGCCAGTGGGTCATTGGGCAGATGGGATTTTCAAATCAAGCCCGGTATCCGGATTATATGTCTACAGGGCAAACTTATATTTGCCCTAAAACCCGACGATATTACTGAATATACAATGAATATATTCAAAAATTATCAGTAGATATTTTATTTGAATTGTTTATTAAATCTACTAATCAAATTATGGGAAATTCAGTCATTTCGGTCATTCCACCTACTCGTCACTATTTTGTAATAGTTTCCAAGTAAACTCACTGGTAAGTTTTTCTGTTTCTCATATCTTCAATTATACATTCACCACCAATGTATGCTTAGAGCAGAAAGTAAGGAGGGAATCACGATTTTTGGGCCTGCTATATACATATCTACCAACCTCGGTTCTGATTCTACTTATCAGTATATCCGTATAAAGTAGTCTACTATCCTCCTTTGACTTAAA